TAATTAATTGCCAGAGAAATCTATGTTAGGAAGGTGTTAAACGTTGGGAGCAAGTATCGGGAATTTTAAGGCAAATGGTATTCCAATTATCTTCCAAAGAGTGTTAACTCAGGAAAGTCCAAATAAAATTTGCAAGACTTCCAAATAAGTTAAAACACAGGAAATTACATACAGTGCATCCAATATTCCCTGACCCTTAATTTATACTGCAGTGGTGACAAGCAAAAAATGACCGATTATGATCAGTGTATAGAGAATGAAATTAAACCAAACCTTTATGTGAACTGTGGAAAGGAAGAGCAAAGGCAAGAAAACTCATGGGTCAAGATACAGTTTAATAAGTAAAGGAAAGAGGAAAAAAAACCCAACAAAACAACAACAACAAAAAAAAGTGATGCAAAGGCAGTCACTCACCACCTCCCACAAGCAGGCCAATGCCTAGCCAGGCTCTGAGCAATTTCTAATGAAGAAGATAGCTAACAATAATATTCTTAGCTTAGAGGAATATTTCCAGATAGAATTAAAGGTGAGTTAATTGACTCCTGCAGTTCAAATATTAGATGTTTCACAGCATTGCTTAGATGTAATACAATCAATATCAACCATTCCTTCAGGACTGACAATGGTTTGAATACCCTCATACAGCAATGGTTCCCATATAGTTATCATCTTTTGGCAGTATGAGAATTACAGTCTCAATAAGCAAAGTAACCTTTCCTCATGCTTGTGAATCAAACATTTTGAGTATTGATTCTGCAACTCAAAATCCAGTAATGTTAATGATAGGATGTGCTACATTCACTGCCTGAAATGAACTTTCTGGATCTCTGCTTTTAATCATAAAGCTGAGGTCAGTATCAACCAGTGGCAAGGGACACAGGTGATGTCTTATTTAATGTGAAACTATTTCAATTATCCTATTAACTTTGTTACATTTTTCCTTGCTCATTCTGTTTAAGAGATACAATTTTGAATAATATTAAACTATAGTAATTAACAAATCTACCAGGAACAATGCAGAATGTATCTTCACCAAGCTACTGAATATGTAACAGTACCATTTTCTATTAAGATATGCAAGTTTGCATAGACAAGCTTAGAGAAGTCACACTTGGGTACTGTGGCTTGCACACTGCATCATTTATTCCCAGAACAGCATGACAAATGGTTTTGATATGCTATCTTCCATAGGTTAAGTTAGTGATTATTCAGTAATAAAGGTGCACAAGCCTGACTTCTGGAGGGCTTGATAATGCTACCTGCAATCTGGTTTACTCTGACATCTATTTTATCATTTAAGACTTATTTTGTGTGCCTTCTGCTTTAGAATATCTCTGAAGTCTCACTCATGAATTACAAAGCAATTGGTCGGGTCTCTAGCTGAATTCAGCACAGTGCAAGCAAATTAACCCTAAACCAACTTAAATACGCCCTTTTCCAAGGATTTGCCGGCCTCCTGGCTGCTCCGCCTTGTGCCTGGCAGCGATTCCTGCCCCAGGAAACCTTTACAGAGCATCCCCCTGCCCCAGCAGCACCGTGCCGACCCTCAGCTCTGTTGATTTTCTGTGCAGCTTTACTGGCACATTACAGCCTAGCTCTGAGATGTCAGTGTGGCTGAGAAAGTCCTTTTTCTCCTCACAGCACTTTATAGTTTATCTAAGAAGCGTGATCTCTTCACTAATTTATCATTAGTGGCAATGCATTTTTTTTTTCAGTTAGAACTGTGCTGTTTATGAATGCTATTATAAATGTGGAAGTTTGATTATGGAATAATACCTATTTAAAAATGCTTTTCATGCACCATGTCACTGTTTCTTACCTGTAGCTCGACTAGATTATGATGTTCTGTTTCACAGCTACAGAAATAAGCATGATTATTTTCTTTACTGGCTTTTTATTGTACTTCTTTCTTTGATCTACAGAATTTTTTAAAGTAATTTTCTGTGTCACTTTTACAAAATTACGATTCCTCACAGCTATTCAAATAAGTTTCTAACTTCAATTGTTTTGATATGTAGTTGACTGAGAACAGTTGTAATGATGGTTAAAGAACATTTAATTGCTTCAGCAAAGTAATTAAGGTTTTCTTCTATTAATAAAATCTACTGTAAGTATTCATGACTATTAAAGTCTTAAAGAATCCACAAAATATCCCATGAAGTACTTGATTTGTGTGCAGAAAATAGAAATGAGGCTACATTATTTCAATTATATATATACATTCAGTTAATAAAATGTACACACTAAATTCTGGTAAAGAAAAATTGTAATCTTTTAACGTTAATTAGCTCCTGGGGATTGGGTTCTCAGCAGAGCAAATAAACAAATTTTACCACAAGAGTGCTATAGCCCTTTACCACAGCAGCATTGGAAGAGAGGTGACACTGTGAAAGAAAGTAACTTCCTCACTGTTTCTAAAAATAGCCCAAAGCCTCAGCCAGTATATTTGGTTAGAAAGGATATGTGCAAGAGAGGTTCTTCAGTGTTACGTCCAACATTAATTGTGTTTCACCACCTCCATTACTATTCCCCAAATAGGAGTAATTTAATCTTGTTTTTGCCATCTGCCCTGGTTTAACACCAGCTGGCAACTAAGCCCCACACAGCCGCTCGCTCACTCCCCCTCAGTGGGATGGGGGAGAGAATTGGAAAAGTAAAAGTGAGAAAACCCGTGGGTTGAGATAAAGACAGTTTAATAGGGAAAGCAAAAGCTGCGCACGCAAGCAAAGCAAAACGAGGAATTCATTCACTACTTCCCATCAGCAGGCAGGGGTTCAGCCATCTCCAGGAAAGCAGGGCTCCATCACACGTAACAGTTACTTGGGAAGACAAACACCATCACTCCGAATGTCCCCCCCTTCCTTCTTCTTCCCCCAGCTTTATATACTGAGCATGACGTCATATGGTATGGAATATCCCTGTGGTCAGTTGGGGTCAGCTGTCCCAGCTGTGTCCTCTCCCAACTTCTTGTGCACCCCCAGCCTGCTCGCTGGTGGGGTGGGGTGAGGAGCAGAAAAAGCCTTGACTCTGTGTAAGCTCTGATCAGCAGTAACTAAAACATCCCTGTGTTATCAACACTGTTTTCAGCACAAATCCAAAACATAGCCCCATACTAGCTACTATGAAGAAAACCAGCACACCATCTAAATCTGTCTCCCTCAGGTCACTAATGAAAATTATTTCACCTAACAGGAAAGCCAGAAATAAGTAACTCAACTCATGTATTCTCAACATGTCATCAAGTCTTAATTCAGGTCAGTGTTGAGAGCACAGCAGCAGAATTACACACAGTCGCAGATGCTCTAGATTACATTAGAACTACCGGAATGAAAGCTTGTGTGGAAAGGGGGAAGTCCAGTGTACATAACAGGACTACCAATAAGAGCAAAGGGAATACAAGCCTCATGCAAACATTACTGAAACAACTTAATACTTCAATTAGAGTAAGAGTGTTAGAAATAGCTCTAATATACTGTAATGGTGTAATATTGGTCCAAATTGTGCCTACGAGCATTGAGAGTCCTCAGTGTGTTTTGGAACATACAGGAATAGATAGGACAAGATGTGATCTGATATGTATATGTAATCTGTATGAGTGACTTCCTACACCCACCCACAGTACCAAAGGTGGAGATGTAAAGAGCCGTCTGCCCAGATCATAACCAGAGACTGAGGTGTGAGTAGATGTAGGTTAAAAATCCAATTACTCAAAGCCCATCTGTACTGATAAATTCCTAAAAGGAAATTTCTAATCCTCTTGGATTAGAAAGCTAATCATCTTTGATCATCGTGTTTATCCCATTCCAGTCAAATTCATTATGTTAAAGCTCTTTGTTAGTGACGGAAGTTAAGCGAAAGACAAACATGGCTAGCACATTTACATGTGTCATGCCTAAAAACAGGAGTTCAGTTCCAGAACTACATTAGAAGTTTCTAAGTTCTGTAGATGTGTCATATGGCATTATGTAAATATAAAAAAACACAGAATAAATTCAGTCAGTTATTTTCATTTTCAAATGGAAGAGCGATAAGCATCACTGCTGTTTATGTAAAAAGACTAAATTAATCAAATGTCTAATACGGTAAAAGAAAACAAGTAGGAGGGATTAAAGTGCCTTCTTGTTTTTCCAGGATTTGAATTTCTTATTCACTGTTGTACAAGTTGTCACTCAGAGAGATAAAACACTATAGTTATTTGCTATGCATCTTTTTATCAACTTTGTTTTGGCCATCTTATTTTTTAAATCAATATTGCTGTTTCACTTCTAATATAGTAGCCCGAAAACATTGCCAGCATGCAGTGAATAGATTTAAAGCGCAAACCATGATTTGTAGAGAGTTTGGGTTGTTTGCTACTACTGTATGTTTTCCACAGTTTCCTTTTAAAGAATGACTTAAAAATTAATTCCTGCAGTAATACGAACATTTTTACTGCTGAAGGAATAAATGTCTTCAAATGTTTCCTGACCTTCAGACTTACAGAAGCTACTTGGCTACAAATTCTTTTTGTTTATTTTGAAGCTTGTTTTAAAAAAGTTAGTCCCGGCTTCGTGTTCTGAAATTCTGCCTTCTGCAGTTTAGTATGTAGCTTCTAGTGCCTTTGATCGTAGGAGTATAATACAAGTAAAATCAATAATGTAGGTCTCACATATTTGATTACTCATATATTCTCCACCAGTTCTTAACATGATTATTTTGATTCTCTGTGAAAACTCATTCTGTTATGTTGTCTATGGAGTTGGGGCAAACGTATCAAGATAAGTATCTGTCTCTAGTGATGATAGCAAAGGGATAACACAGAAATTAAAATATAATATGTTTTTCCATCTTGTCATGAGTTAATTTTCAAAATTTAGTTTTATTCTTGTCAATAGTGAAAAGTAGTAAAATAATCACAGTGCATGCATTTGTGTGTTTCAATGCTGCTTTTTTGTATAGGGTTTCTTTTTTTCCTTCCACTCCTGGAGGTATATTTGTGTATTGCATTCAGGAAGGCCTACCTGAATTACAAGTGTTGCTGTATGCTTCTTTCCGTACATCCTTGGCTTGAATCCCACCGTTATATGGGTTCCCACAGTGCCTGCTGGAAGAAGTTCTCCAGCTTGCGGCAGCACAAGGAACTCAGGATCGCTGCCCGCCAGGAAGTGCGCAGTGAATGGCTCTGGGTTCCTACAGAAAAGCACAGGAGGCTATTGTGCCTTTTATGGTATCTTAATACAATTTATCTACAATCTAACATTTAGGCCACCATGACTCAGGAAACTTGGCAGCCCATGGAACGCATATTGAATATTAATAGCATTCTTACAAAATAAATATTTTGTAGTAATTATTTACATTTATTTATACATATTTATAATCTTTATACACAGGGATCTGCATACTGGTCTTCCATTTCAAACATACTTACATGCTATTATAAATATTATAATAACTAAAGAATAACGATAGCATTTGCCACTAGAAAGAAAAGAATCATCTGACCTGTAAAGATATAATAATAGTGATAGAAATAAATTCCATGTCAGAGTGAAAATCCACTTTTCCTATTAAAAGCCCCTCATTTTTCCAATCGCTAATCAAATAAAACTGACAAGCTGCCCATTTTATTAAGTTTTATGACTAGAACTGAATTTGCAATCTGGTGGAGTATTACTAGATTAGGAGGGAGTTCTGAAAGCCTTGAAATGAACGTATGGAAAATAATAGTTTTCTATCACTGTTTTCCACATTTTTCATATCCCATAAACTAAACACTTTAAGATATTGCAGTAATAATGATTAAGTTCCTCAGTTGATATTATTGTATATCTCTTATCTCAAAGAATTTGTGTCACAGGTACTGCAGATCTTGTCTAATTGCTAGTTTCATGGAAGTACTGTTGCACCCAAAGAAAATGTCTTATTCCTGGTAAAGACAGTGGCTGAGGAATACAAAACAGTCTTAGGCCAACCCCAAACTGAAGCCTGTCTATCACAGGTCCTCAGGGACTCCTTGCCATAAACTTTCTCAGCATGAAAAGAATATACATGTTTATATTTTCCAGTCAGGCATTCTCCTTTTAGTCTTTATATGTGTGGCTGAGGACAACTCTATCACTATCTGGCAAGAAAGAGAACAAAAGAAATTGAAACTAGAAATACAACAGCATGGTCAAAAAATAATCCACAACACCCTGCCACAGTACAGCAGGATAAGCATCATGCATGCTTAGAGGGAACACATTTTTAGTTGATAAAACTTGAAGAATGAAAAACTAAAACATCTCAAAGAAAAGCTGTTCAAATCTATTTATTCATGGACTGCCACACCAGAAGTAACACTGCTTTTCAAAGAAAATACTCACAAAGAAGTGAAATTTAATATTTTATGACAATTCATATCTCTACGGATATGTCCCATATTTCCTGGGCAAGTGCTATTCAGTGGGTGGTATGCTGGGTCTATGTCATCTTGTTTAAAAATAGCTCTCCTTTGGAATATGTTTTCATGAAAGGTTTTCTTAAATTCAAAATACCCTCATGAAAAAAAGGTCACACTCTAAGTTTGTGGAAACAATTAGTGCAAGTGCAGAAAACGGAAAACAAAAATATTCTGCCTCCTCAAAAAAATTAACTGACAACTGAATGTCTGAAACTACACTTCAAGTCTTGTGACATCAAACTTATGCTGACAATCTCTTTTCATGGTGCCTAAAGTTGTGCAGCTGAGTTTATACCCCTGGGCCATAAGCACTAATCCTGCTACAGCCTGAGTTCCCGTCCATGTGCCATCTAAGCCTTGTGTTTTCACATCTGTGTCTCCTGCAAGGACTGCTCAGCTGTGAATGCCTAGAGCATACCTACCACACACAACGGGCAGGCACTGGGTGAAAAAGAAGTGATACCTCTCAGAATGAGTAGCAGAGTAGAGCACTCATCAAAAATGTCTGAGATGAATATTCAAACCCTGGTTCTGGAAATATAGACCTGGTCTTCACTTCCAACATCATTGCTTTATAGACTGGATTTAGGAACATTTTAAGACAGCACTTTCTTTATCTCCCATGTTCAGTCTGTTTTCTGGCAAGTAGTTAGGGATGACGACTCCTACTAAGCACTTTGTGCCTTCGTAAAACATACAAGAGCATGACTTAGGCTACAGATGCAATGATGGAATGCTAAGGGAGATGGGACAGGCTGCATGCATGGAAGACACAAGAAGATAAGGACTTTATTCCTGCAGAAATTGTGTTTTAGAAGGCTGTGATGCAACAGTGGTTTTTTTCAGAGACCGTAAATGATTCCTCAAAACAGTTAGTCAGAAAACACACAAAAGAAAAAGCTATAGTTTTAGTCCTGACAAGGGGACCAGACAGTTTCAAATGAAAAAACTGATCTATAATTGTGCACACAAGATATTTGTCAAGTCAGAGAAAAAATCTTATTGCATCAACCTTGTCAGATTTTAATTTTCATAAAGAAAAATGGAGAAAAACTAATAAAAAAGCTTTAAAGAAAATCTGCATGCTTCTTGACAGTATTGGCACAAGGTACTAGAGGTCAAGGTCCTAGAGGCAGCTATAATTTTTTTCTGTGTTGAGTAAAACATATATACACATACACACATACATACTTACATGAACACATATAGTCACACCTAAAACCTCACACTTCTCTTCCTTTCCCTCCCCTCCCCTCCCCAAAGCCTGGCAGTTTTAAACAAAAGACTCAAGTCAGTAGCTGGATGCAAAATGTTCCTCAAGGTGGGAGCTATGTCCAAATGAGGAAAATAGAAATTCTGGTAAATTAAATGTATAGCCATAATATGATAGGCCATCAGGGATTCTGATGAAGATATGGCTAACAGTACAAGAACTAGCAATTAAAAACTTAATCACACACAATCAGAAACAGGAACCTTTCACAGTGCCTGTAGTGCTGATAAATCATGAATTTTTGTTTTAGAAATATATCTAAAGGGGGCCTCTCAAGAAAAAACAAGTAGTGTTTTCACTGATGTTCACATCAGGGCGATAATCTGGCATCCTGGCTAGCTTGCTAGTATAAGTAAATTGCTTGTCATTCTCATCTTCTATAGTACAGAGAAAGATGGAGATAAAATTCCCAGGACAGCACAGATATTATTGTTTTCAGTGTCTGTATATTTAGTGTATAATTAAAAATTAATAATTTTGTGGTTTAAAATGATAAAAAATTAATTCCTCCTTTTTGATTACTGCTTCAGGTAAAACAGCTCTGGAGTCAATGTTTGGCCTGTCATTTCTCAGCCATGAAGCACAGTGATGAGGCACTCTATATTTTTTCAAGAAGGCTTTGTTTAACTCAAGGGTGGCAGATACTAACATACTCTATAAAGTTCAGTGATGCGTAGAGTTTTGAAAATACAGACGAACCAAGCACAAATGAATTAGTAAATATAAGGGCAGAGGCCATATAAACCAAAGAAAGCAAACGTGTCTTCCCGCCTGCGTGTTCCATAACTCCTGTCATAATGGTTTGATATTGCTATCAGACAATATGAACTCTGCCCTTACTCAAATAATGAACAAGAGTAAATATTGATTTGAATTTAAATAATAATTGGACAATGAAATCATGGCAACCAGGAAGAGTGGAAATTGAGCTAGTATGTAATAGACATATTTATAATTACTCCTTTAATCTTGTTCTTAAATAGCATTGTTCTTAAATAGCAGTCTGCTCATCAGTGTTCTCATGTTAGATAATTTTCAAATTAGTAAATTAAAAAAGAATAGCACCTTATGTCTTCAATTAAAGAAAACCTTAAAATTTATATTCCCATAGAGATGTCACTGCAAAACTTATAAAATACCCAGCAAATCTGACAATATAAGCCTTTATTAAATTAAGGCTCAAAATAGCTTTAATGTTTACTCCTCTCTTCCTCAAAATAGTGAAGCAGTAAATTACTCTTGTAGAAATGTATTCCTTTACAAAACTCAGCATTTTGCAAACTATACATAAAAAACAATGCATAGTGCTTTTGATCAATTTTTTTTTTCAATAAAAGAATAACAAAATGTCTTAATCTGTAAAGTATGTAACTGCTTAAGCAAAGAAGGGATACAGTTTGAAAATGATGCAATGTGCTTCCAAAAATAGTTAATCATAACTAAACTTACTTCTTGTAAGTTGTATTTATCATCTGTTGGATGACACAAGAAATTTCAGTTATTACGTAGTGAAGTTCTTCAAATTTATTAGCTGTATGTAGTTATCAATTTCTATAAAATTATTAGTGATAGTTGGTATGATTTAGATAATTCCTTTTCAACAAAAAAAAAAGAAAATGGAAAAAAAATTAGGAAATCCTTATTATTTATCAAAATTGGTAATGTTTCGTACCAAAACCAACTCTGGTTTAATTGACCACTCTAAATCCTGAACTCTGGACATCAGAAAATATTTAACTCCAATTATCACTCTATAGCTTTGGAAAGACTGCTTCAGAATTAAAGGACTTTCAAAAAATATGAAGAAACACTGCATGACAAATGACTGTCAGGGAATGCTTTACCAAATATAACATCACTTTTGTTGTGCACGTGTTGTAAAACCAAAGCAGGAGCTAGGGTTTTTATCTTCACAAAACGTTAAGATTTCTGCCTCATTCCTGTTCTACACAGGGGTACTATATTTGCAGATTGGTAAACTGACTTTTCCTGCTAAAAGCGGTGCAGGTGACATGGCTAGATACAGCTCCTGGCTAAATGTGTGACATGTCAGGCATTGTACTATTAGGAAGGATGATTGTATCTTTTTGGAAGCTCTGCTGCATGTGTACCATTACCGATATTGTCGACTAGTCTTCATTCAGACTCCAAAAAATGGAGCTCAGTCAACATTTGTTCTCTGCAGCTGCCACTATGTGGGAGATGCTGAGATAAAGTATTCTAATTACGTCTTTAGATTAATGGTAGAATTTTGCAGAACTGGTAACAAAGAGATTGGCACAGGAATCCAGGCCTGTAACATGCACATCAACGTGTGAAAAAGGGTGAGGAGAGGGTGTGTGTGCTGAGAACTTGATGAATGCATTTTCTTGCAGCATACATAATTCTGGCTCATGGTAATTCTAATGAAATACAGCAGTAATTACAGTAAAACAATTACATATTGCTCAAAGATGTAACTGTAAACATTTTTTTTGTTTTTCCCTTCACAATTAGGGAGGGTACAAAAAAAAAATGGGTTGCTCGCTATTCTGCAGACAGCATTAAAATTAATTTTGTGTGATCAAGGAATGTTTTTAAGTGAACATTTATTCTGTGCACTAGGAAATGTGCAGAGAAGAAATAAGGAAAATATCCACAGTGGTTTTCAAAATATGAAATGTAGGTTAAGATAACTAAGTCTCCACATGCACTCATTTTAAAGCCTAATTTCATTTTTCTTCTCATCTCCCCAGTCCACCTGTTTTTGTTCTCTCTTTATCTTAGCTCTGTTTCCATAATGGGGTGGAGCCTTGGATTTTGCAGATACCACTCGTGGAGACCATATTGATACCACGCTCTTTGCTTTTGTGATAGCAGGTGCTGACTAAGTATGTTTTTCTGAAGCATAGTTTGAGTTCATCTGAGAAGTTTCCTCAATGTAACAAATACCCTGTTTGTGACAGGATTGGAATGAAAGATTGGGATGGAAGGATGGATAAAACTTTACTGTATGTGAGAAGCAATACCTGATTAAAACAATCACTAACAGGTACATAGAAAGCTAGAATTATGTTGGTGAAAGGAGGCTCTGTGTATGAGAAATCAGCAGAGAGAATGAACAGGAGAGAACTATCCACCATCTTGACTAAACATTCGAAAGTAGTGTAGTTTACAAAAAAAATTTCAAGTGAACATAGTGTTCATATGTATCTATCCACATGTTTTATATTGGCTGCTGAAGTATTTGCACTGGAAAACAAATAAGGTAACATTCTGCTGTAGCTGGATATCAGTATTTTAATGTGAAGAAATAAATCAAATCATCAAAATACCTCTGTACTGGAATATATAGTAGCAAATATTCTCCAGAAAACAGTTCTGTATTAATACAATTGTTCTGATCCCAAAACATAATTGATTAAAAATACATCAAGAAGTTATTTTCAGTAAAACAAATATAGAAAGGACTAGTTTTCCTAGGCAAAGCGCCACTTCCAGAATTTTTAGTCTCTCTTTCAATTACAGACATCAGCATAAAATAATAGACCAATAACTTGAGCTGGATATCAAACAAGTTTTTATAATTTTTATTTCCAGGGATAAGATTTTGTCTACTCTTTTTGGTTAATACTGTTGTCATTCTGTAAACCTTTGGCATTCAATAATCCATTTGGTGCTAAAACAAACACTAATGTTAAGACAAACATTAGAGGCTTGTACCAAAGCCAATTACCTCAGTGGAAATGTTGCCAATGATTTCAGCTGGTGTTGAATTAAACCTACATTTATGACAAAACCCAAAGAAGGTCACCTATGAATGTTAAAAAATGGCAGATTTTTCTTATTTAAAAGTGAAATCTGCTTATTTGACTCTAACCAATCTTAATGCCATTACAAGAAACCATTCAAAAATATGTCCCTTTTGAATTTGTAACGCTGAAAGTAAAATATTGGACTACTCATATACCACAACTGTCCTAGGTACAGACAGGTTTTAAAAATATATTAGAGTTTTTTTCATACAGCAAAACTGCTTGGCTCCATTCCCAGTGTCTTTCATTATTTATTGAAGCAGATATTGGGCTGTTTCTCATTGGGGGCATGTGTGCGTGTCAATTTTAAATTTATTAAAAGAGAGAGTGCATTACATATTTGCATGGACTCTCAGAGCTTTCGTTATTGCAGATCATTGTGAGCAGCGTAGCAACTACCTCCCATTTGTAACTGTTCATCATTCCTGAAGCAAGTACATCAAATGTAGTTACGGATAAATTGGAAAATCATTAATTCAGTCTGAAATATTCTGTACACATTGAGGATTTTGCTGGGGAGGAGAGAGGTGGAATTAAAGGGAGAAGCCCACATTTGAGTTGCAGTAGCTGTAAAGAAGGAGAAAGCTGAAACCATTGACCTCATAGCTTTGTAGTGTGCTCTGTGGATCACTGAAGATCGTCATTCAACTTGGTATATACAAGAGAATCCTAATCAGTCCTTAATAAGATACTGAGCCTTTTTTGGGGGCTGTGGTTCTCAAATATTTTTTGTTGCATCACTATGCACCCTGATAGCCCAAAAAGGTGTACAGGTCTTCTCAGTGATGCTGTGCAACCACTCTGTCCTGCAAGTAGCAGAGAGAGAAAAAGACATAGCTGCCAAGTCCCTTTCTAGCAGGTTACTCAGAAATACATCTCTCTCTCTCCCTCAGTTACTCTCCAAGTAGCAGTGCCATGAGGTACTATCCAGCATAAGAAAGGAAGACAGAAAGTATCTCTATGCAGGGGAAAAAAAAACCCACCTTTCTTTAAGTACCAGAACTGATTCTCTATGGGATTGCTAACTGTTTACTCAAGAAAAACTCCAAAGGGCTGGTCATTTTTTTCAGGGAAGGTCTATGGGATGACACTCTATATCCCAACTGAAACTTTTAATCCATATTTTAATATTTCATGGTTTTATTTTTAATCTCAGTCATTTGAGTTATTCAAGCATTAAATTACATCTGTAATATATGGGTTTCTTGTGTAATTGCTTTTAAACTGCAGATCCTGTATGCTAAATGTTGGTTAGCTGACTCTTCTATTTCTATAACAAAACCTCCACCACCAAAAGCTCCTAAGCAAATCAAAGATAAGATAAAGCAATATAAATCTTACAGAGCAGTTGTTGGCACTATTTACAATATGGAGCTTATTCAGTTCATGCAAGCATTATGTTTTGTATTTTAAATGTATGGGGGAACCCTTGTTATGTAAAATAAAGTTGGAATTTGTTTAAGAGAAAAAGGGAACCTGTCTTCCATCATGGCTCCTTCTTTATGTAATTATAATGATTCAGGTTTTATAATACCTTTCTGGAGAACATTAGATTCACTACTATCAAACTACTACTGGGCGATTACAATATTGCCAGAGCAATTGCTTCACTTTTCTTGCTGAAACAGCCCATTCTATTGAAGCTGTTAACTTGAACACTGTGATAGAAGACTTTTTCAGAGTCTTTAGTAATTATCATCACTGACAGCCATCTAAAGGCTGGAACAACTGTCCATCTTCGATGCACAGCTTTTGGGAATAAGCTCTTAAAAAAAAACAGTTGGAACCAAGGACACTTCCTGCTGGGGATGCTACAAAAGCATTTAACTGAAAGTTAACTATGAATCAGCATATCTGGCACACTTTCTAGATATACAGTAAAAAAAGCCAATTTTAAAGAAAAAAAGGAAATTTTAAAACTTCCATAAGCTAATTAAATTGTAAGCATCATGATTCTTTCAGGTTCACTGTTTACTATTTTAAAACTTATCTATCAGCACCACACAATTTATTCCTTCACTTTCTGCTGTAGACAAATGACACCATGGGTTTGCTATAACATTATGAAACTCTGAGAAAATAATGAAAAGTATGTAAAAAATATATAAATAGAGATTTCTGCAGCACTTTTAAAAAGGAGAGTAACAAAATACGGGAGAATGACACAATTATTTTATCTAGTGAAAGGGCAGAGTAGAGATGAATTCATAACATGCTTATATAATAAAACAGTAATACCTAAAAAAAATGGCACATTTAAAAATTTTTAAAGCACAATGTAAAGGATTGTTTTTAACTTGGTGTAAGTATACAGTACTTTGAAAACCAATCTATTAGTAAAAACATTAAGGCTTTAATAACGAGCCTCTAATATCACAGCACACCTTCCTTAACATTATATTACACATTTTAACACACAAAAGCATTTTAGGACAAAACTTTAAAGTCATAACATAAATATTTGGATCTGTTCCACAAATTTTCTCCTGAGGGGCTACAGCCTAAACGTAGAATGCTTCTGTTTTCTATAGTATAGCTTCAAAATCACATTTGTTACCTATACAATGCTGCACTTGAAATTAATTATGTATTACTGAAATAGCTACAGCCCAGTTATGTTTCTGTTGCCCAAAGCTACCCTATCCGACATGTTTGAGTGTGAGTTCTAGCCTCAGAAAACTGCATAAATACTCCTTCATATGTAATTTTACCTTGTCTGGCTTGTAAGCTTAAAGCCAACTATAGATTCCTTATTCAGGCCAACTGCTTCAATGTTGATGACATCATCCACTTCTGGCTCTGTAGCAATGAACAGCATTGGAAACTTCCAAACACCTCCTGTAGTGCACTGTACTAGGAGAGTTGCTTTGTTCCTTAAAATTTCAGATAAAAACATTCAATACATAGATAAACATTATAAAACATAAACTGAGTAAATTAATGTCCAAAATAAGCCTCAAGTGTGTAGAAATATACTACAGTAAAATGAAAATACAGATGGCTTTAAATTGGAATACATCCTTAATTTTATGTGGCATAGTATATACCAGTTGCACTTAGACTGGAATGTAGGCTAAATAGCACTTGATGTTTACAGCAAAGTACAAGAAAGGACATAATATGAAAGCAAAATGATGGGCACAGCCATGAGATTTGATTCTTCTTCTGCTTACTCTCTCTTGAGTTAAATTTGTTTAACGTAACTTGTTTTACTCATTATTCTTTATTTACTGTGGTGTTAGAGAATTTGGTCCAGAACATGTTAGCAGTGCATATTAGAATCAAATAGATCTGACAAAGGTCTATGTACTTTAGAAAAATTCCAGACTCTGATGTCTTCAGACTATCTAAGAAGAGAGCTGGTGCTGTAGATTCTGAAGATAAAGAAACTAATTAATTGCAGTTATTGAGTCCTCTGCATGAAGCCTGATAGGTCTCAAGTACACAAAGATAAAAAAAACAAATCAAAACTAACCAAACCAAACAAAAAAAAAAGACAGAGTAGAAATAAAAAGGGTTTGTAAATTAGCCTCCCCAATGACACTGCATGGGGTGGGTGGATAGTCTTTCCTAAAGGTTTGCTCTTTGTTTATTTCAGTTCCCTCCTGCATCCTAAAAATACCCTCTTTGCATGCAACCCATGATATTCGACAGTGACTGCTTCCTAATCTTCCTGGTAATGTTGAGTCTCTGAATTTACTGTGTGCCTGTATCTTACTGAAGCTTCTTTCCTCCCCATACACATTTGACTGCTTCAAAAGGAAGGCGCAACTTCCCTCTCTCTCCAAAAGGATCTCCCTTTCACAGCTTCTTTTTAAAGAGGTGGGATGTACTAATGTAAATGAAAGCAAATCCATCATTTTTCACATCACAGCTATAAAAAAGGATAATATTTTTCTGTGGACTGTTGTTACTGGGGCGCTAGAGACTAATTTCAAATTCAACCACCCCATCCAGCCGAAGAATATGCACACATGCTCATCTAAGAAAAGTTTTTCAAGACCGACAAACCATCTTCTCTGTATGCTTTCTGCGAATTTTGAGAAAAACTAATTTTCATTGGAAGTCTTTCAATACTCCAATGTTTAGAAGTAAATTGATGCACACACAGACTAAGGCAGTAACTCAACAGAACCATCTAGCAGGCATTAAAAACAAACACTATCAGTTTTAATACCAAAGATATCATACTGAGAAGTAGCAAGTGAGAAAATCTAAAATAATAGATCTCAGAGGCGAAAACAAAATGAGGAAAACAATGCAGGGAGGTGCTTACATAGCTAAGAGTGACCAGACAGGATTTTATTGCATGTTTTGTTGGTGATAAGGAACAGGAGCTTACCTCATTGGTTTGTTAGGTGCAAACACTATATTAAAGATCAGTGTAACGATTCCGGATTCTGTATCCCGTTCTCTTTGAATCAGATCCATACCAACCAAGGCTCCAAGCTGAGATTTAATTTCATTTGATTGATATTGTAATTCATACAGAAATTCCATTGTTGTAGAGAAACCTAAATGATACAGGAGAAGAATCAGTCTGTGTGCAGTCTAACCTCATACAGCTGGCTGGCTAGTAGTTACAATTCTTTCATTTATTATTAAAAATGACAAATAAGTAAAACTAGTAATTATCCAAAACTTAAGTGATTTGCTGTTGACTGCATAGAAAAATCTTCCAATTTCATATGACAGGCTATATAGTTTCCAGCAAAATGGATGCTGGAGAATGTACTTAGGGGAAGTGACCAGTAATAGCAATATTGTTCTGGCTACCACTTCTGCATTATGGTGAGATATTTCTAGTTAATCAGTCAAATGAAAATTGCAAGGATGTAATACTATTTTTGAGTAATGCCATTGGGACAATCTCAAAAAAAAAAATCATTAAGGACATCAGTGCCATTGATAGCTGCAAGCCTGAGAAACAGTCTATAGAAAAATAGTGAAGATGTCACTAGCAGCCTCTTCTTTTATTCCCCGTAGCAGGTATGAAAAGGCCAAGTAGCAATGACATAAGAATAAACAGTTGAGCTTCTTGAATCAAATGTCTCCTCTAGCTGTAATAAAGAAAACTGCGATATTACAATAGTAATTTGTGCACAGAAGGGCACGTTTCTACGAGGAAAAGAATCTCAAGCTGCTAATCTATTCAAAAATTTTACATGTTTTATGGATGAGAAGTGTTTTAACACAACCACTGAATCCTACAGGAGATTTCATTTTACTATGACCACATGTCTCAGGGCACATTTTGAATTTGCACAGCTTAGTACAATGTGTTGTACAAAGACAACTCCTATGTATGTGTCCCTGTATATGCTGGCTACAGGGTGCCAATCAGCTGCAGAGTTAATTCCCAAGGCCTTCTGACTTGGAATTCTAAAATACAGACTAAGTACTTATTTTTACATAAAGTTCAAGAAACAATGCACTGTGAGATATTTGAACAAAACCTGACTTCGTTTTTGCCAATCTGTAACGCTACCCAGTGTCAGTGAGTATGCAGATGCCTTCCTATGCTTGTAGTCTTTTCCCCTTTTCTGAAATGCACAGATTCCTTCTTTCTACTTCATTCAACTTTTGTTGCCCATGTTTTTGTAACACACAGATTAGCCCTAAGAAATGTAGCAGCTGATATTGAAAGATTTCTGACTCTTTAAAGTGGATCCTTCACGCAGACCTCTGTACAATTTATGCTAGATCAAAGAGTTACACAGATGTAAGAAAAATATTACCACCAACATATGGGATTATTGGTCATAGTAGATACACACTGAGTACCAAATATACAGCATTTCCATGTATTAATCCTTCTATTATAAATATACTTTATTACAATAAATGTACTTTGTTATAATGAAATTAAACATGAACATTTTTCCTACAGTTTATAAAATTCCTGGGATCATCCTACATTGTTCCATGCTTTGTTGTTTCTCTATTTGAAAATATAATGTTTATGCCATGCATTCAGATTCCAACACAGCCCAAGGCTTGTAGTAGTCACCCTAGACAAATGCCAAAACATGAAGATTCAGACATAAAAATTAACTTATTATGGGAGAGAAAAGATTACATCATTTGGAGCACTTCACAGTGAGAAAATTGCAACTGTTGAGCAGATGTTTCTTTCAGCAGTTATATCACACAATGCTACTCAGGAAAAGCTTATTTTATAGTTCAGATGCTAGGAAGAAAATGTTGTGAATTGCATGCTGCTTTTAGTATCCAAAGACATTTGGGTTTGGTTTGATGTATGTATATAGTACCTTTTAGCCAGAAGCAATTAAATATTTATATTTTTTCTGCTCCAGGCTGTTTTGTAACCTGTTCTATGCTCATACTAAGTATTTAATTAAAATATTTCAATATATGCAACACCTAAGGAAAAATGATGCATTTGTAAGTGCCAATATTTGAAAGCTTCGTTATGCTCATCCCTTAGCTGGTTTCCATGTACACTGACGATCTAGGTTCAGACTGTTCAAAAAAGAAAAATGTAATTAGATTTTCATCACAGCTGCCCTGAAGACTACTCTATTATCACACTATGGAAAGCCTCTGTGAATATGTTAATATTTAATTCTAGACAATTGCATAATACACATGCTGCCTAAACAAACTGGCAGAAGCTAAAGGCAAAAAAAAATTTGTGAATCGTTACTAGAAATTTGTCAAAATTGTCAAATGTTCAGAGTTCTTTTGACTTTGTGAAATTCCAGTTTCAATTTAAATGGTGAAATAAATAAAACATTGGAGAAAGAATTAACATTTTTCTTTAAAGTAATGCCAAATACAATGTAGCATACAATTCAAATATGCCTTGACCCTTTAGCCCAGCTCTTTGTATGTTTTCATTCATTAGTATTCTTTTTAAAAATCACCATTTTAATACAGGTAAAATTCCTATTTTATGTAATGCAAATTGTAAAATACACATGCAGATATAAAGAATACCCCAATTAATCCACCTCTGTTCTGTAAATAGAGAGCAGCAAGGATAGTTTTAACCACACCTGACCCAACACAGAGATATTTATTAATCCAAACACTGGGAAGATATAAGCGTGCTATTTATATACAGCTTATTACATCTAGGAAATAGAAATTCCAATTATAAAAAATATTACTTCCTCATATTTCCTGAAGAATATTATGCATTATTTAAGTAAGAAAAGGAGTAAGAATATGTTTTTGAGGTAATTATTCCAAGACAATTTTTTTAAAGCATTAAACTTTTCTTGTTTTGAAAGGCAATTAATCTCAGTCTTTAAGTGTTTTCATTTGTGTAAATAAAGACTTCCAAAAGGTAGTATGCATTTAGGCAACATTTGTGTATGCAGAATTACTGAAGCAGCTATTTTTAAAAAACAATAAGGTTTTTGAGCTATACAGTTCTATGACTTGGCTGTCATTTATTTTCAAGTGCCAGTAAGGACACTTCTTAAAAAGCTGTACAATTAAAGTGTTGAGGATTTGTTTGTTTTTTCTTAAATAGCCTCTAAGAACATGAAAGGAAATAGATCACCTTTTTTTAATTTATTTTCTGACTCATAAGAATGATAGTGTGGAAACTCCAAGGATTTTACACTCTGAACATGTAAATTGGGCAAATGTGAATTTTTATGACTGTTAGGATTACTGTGAAACTAATTAATATATGTCATACCTCTAAAAATTAAAAGACAAGTCTAACAAGTTCACAAAATAAGAACCTCAGGAATTTAAATGACTTTTTAGTGGAAAAGAACCTGTATTCAAGCTTCAAAAGAGTTAATTACAAAGACATTGATGGGCCTAACATCTATAGAAGGTACTGTGAAAGGCCCACTGGATATATCTGACCGGGAATAGAGTTTCACACTGTCATTAGAGAAGCCTTTGTACCTCCCTCCTATTTTTGAAAAGCGAATAAGTGTGTGACTTCACTGAAGACCAGCTCATTACACAATGTGTTTTCTGATGATAAAAATCTAATGGACACTGGCCTGCAAGGCTGCAGTCTCGTGTGGATACCTAAAGGAGATCTAGCTACCTGAGCTCTCTGCAGATAGTACTTAATCTGCAGTGGACTTGGTGACATAAAAACAGCAAGGGGGGGAACTTTCTAAGAGACCCTCCTTACTTTCACACAGTCTCCCACTTCCAATGAGACAGGTGGAAATTAAAGCTGTGATGGAAAGATGTTCAGACTGCAAAAATGCTTATCCTTGTTACAGAGGCTTTTCCTTGGACAGATGCAATAATACAGAGATACAAGTGAATTCGCTCAATTGGCCTTCCTCACCTCCCATTCAGTAGGCTGCAATCTTACTTGCAGCTATTTAATAAAGGAGGTCAGCACAATCACAGAATACAAACACAGAATGAAAGCCCAGCCATTCATAAACTTGCAGCTTCATGTTTTTCAAAAGCTAGATAAATTATTTTATGTGGTGCTGAATATAAATATATTGCACTCTCTCACTGATTTTTTTTCCACTGATTCTGCTAATTCTTCAAGGCTAAGTATCCGTCATGGCCCTGACACCTAACAAAGATTTCTTCCCCTCTTGATCTAATAGTCTCCAAACGGGTAAAATAGAAGCTACAGGACCAGACCTTAACTAATCACTTCTACCAGACAGCTGGCATCTATTGTTGACCTTCCAAACCTTGTGAAATATCTTTCTTCATAATCTCATTCAGCTTTCATCTAATACTTGTCCTTTTCCTGCTTTTCCACTGTCTTCCAGGAGACTTCCCACACACTGCTGGAACTCAGTAGGCAGTGGGGAATGAACATTAAGTATGCAGTTATGCTTTACCAGCAAAAGCAGCAGCAGACAGAATACATTATTGTACAGTAGATTAAATTGTTGTAATACAGTTTTCAAGTAAACATTCAAGTGAATAGCAAAAGTGAATTATAAGAGTAATAAAGAAAAAAAAATTTAAAAGGAAGCCTGGCGGTCAAGAACATCCTAACATTCAAGTAGACAGTATCATCTGGGCAGTAAGAAATTAATCTCATCTGAAAAGTAAATATCTATTTCTCACTGTAAAATGTCATAACTCCAGGATAATAGCAGCAGAATAAACAAATTGCACAAGAACCTGAAAAGACCTGGTTGTAGTTGAATATGCCTTCCACTAAATTTCTTCATACAGGTACAAATGGCTGTATGTAGAGCATTATAAATATCAGTAAAGATAACATCATATACTTCATTAAATGCCAGATACCAAATTACCTTAAATACAAAGAAATAAATGGATAATGAAGTGATCTCCTTCTGTTGATAATATACTCATTGATCCTCAATGCAATTCAAGGAAATCCTCAGTGTAGTTCTGTGTATAAATCTTTATATCTCTTCCCTGCAAATTTATTTCTCTTCCCATATCCAACTAAAGCTTTTCATCCCTATCTTCAAGGCTCTGCAAAATTCCACTCTTAGCCTCATCTTTTTTTACCCTGCATCGCACTGCCTATTCCCCTAGCAACCAACTTCAAC